CACACATTAACAGGGGCAGTACAGGAGCTGAGTGATCAGCAGAGATATTTGGATATTCCATGGCACATGGCTGGGGGCACACAGTGATGGGTACAGTACAGAAGTTAGGTGACCAGCAGAGATATTTGGGGGAGTATTGAATGGATCGGGTCTGGGGGCACACAGTGATGGGTACAGTACAGACGTTGGGTGACCAGCAGAGACATTTGGGGGAGTATTGAATGAATCAGGTATGGAGGCACTCAGTGATGCGTACAGTACAGGAGTTGGGTGACCAGGCCAGACATTTGGGGGAGTATTGAATGAATCAGGTCTGGGGGCACACAGTGATGGGTACAGTACAGGAGTTGGGTGACCAGGCCAGACATTTGGGGGAGTATTGAATGAATCAGGTCTGGGGGCACACAGTGATGGGTACAGTACGGGAGTTGGGTGACCAGGCCAGACATTTGGGGGAGTATTTGAATGGATTGGGTTTGGGGGCACACAGTGATGGGTACAGTACAGGAGTTGGGTGACCAGCCCAGACATTTGGGTGAGTATTGAATGGATCAGGTCTGGGTCTGGGAGCACACAGTGAGAGGGGCAGTACCGAAGTTGGGTGACCAGCAGACATATTTAGATATCCCATGGCTCAGGGCTGGGAGCACACAGTGATGGGTACAGTACAGGAGTTGGGTGAACAGCCCAGACATTTGGGGGAGTATTGAATGGATCAGGCCTGGGGACACACAGTGGCAAAGGCAGTACAGGGGTTGAGTGACTCCCAGAGATATTTGGGGGGGGGGGGATACAAGGTTCAGGTTTGGGGGGATGGTGACAAGCGCAATACAGGAGTTAGGTGGTCAGAAGAGACATTTGGGGGAATGCCACACAGGTAACAGAGCTGAAAGCACACAGTGACAGGTGAAGTATCTGGAGGATGCATGGCAGGGATTGGGGTGGGGGGCACAGTGACAGGTAAAGTATCTGGAGGATGGATGGCAGGGATTAGGGTGGGGGCACAGTGACAGGTGAAGTATTTGGGGGATGCATGGCAGGGATTGGGGTGGGGGGCACAGTGACAGGTGAAGTATTTGGGGGATGCATGGCAGGGATTGGGGTTTGGGCACAGTGACAGGTGAAGTATTTGGGGAATGCATGGCAGGGATTGGGGTGGGGGGGCACAGAGACAGGTGAAGTATTTTGGGGACACATGGTAGGGATTGGGGTTGGGGCACAGTGACAGGTGAAGTATTTGGGGGATGCATGGCAGGGATTGGGGTGGGGGGGGGGGGCACAGTGACAGGAGAAGTATTTGGGGAATGTATTGCAGAAATTGGGGTGGGGGCACAGTGACAGGTGAAGTATTTGGGGGACGCATGGTAGGGATTGGGGTGGGGGGCACAGTGACAGGTGAAGTATTTGGAAGATGCATGGCGGGGATTGGGGTGGGGGGCACAGTGACAGGTGATGTATTTGGAGGATGCATGGCAGGGATTGGGGTGGGGGGCACAGTGACAGGTGAAGTATTTGGGGGATGCATGGCAGGGACTGGGTGGGGGGCACAGTGACAGGTGAAGTATTTGGGGGATGCATGGCAGGGATTGGGGTGGGGGCACAGTGACAGGAAAAGTATTTGGGGAATGTATTGCAGAAATTGGGGTGGGGGCACAGTGACAGGTGAAGTATCTGGAGGATGGATGGCAGGGATTGGGGTGGGGGCACAGTGACAGGTGAAGTATCTGGAGGATGGATGGCAGGGATTGGGGATGGGGCACAGTGACAGGTGAAGTATTTGGGGGATGCATGGCAGGGATTGGGGTGGGGGGGGCACAGAGACAGGTGAAGTATTTGGGGGACACATGGTAGGGATTGGGGTTGGGGCACAGTGACAGGTGAAGTATTTGGGGGATGCATGGCAGGGATTGGGGTGGGGGCACAGTGACAGGAGAAGTATTTGGGGAATGTATTGCAGAAATTGGGGTGGGGGCACAGTGACAGGTGAAGTATTTGGGGGACGCATGGTAGGGATTGGGGTGGGGGGCACAGTGACAGGTGAAGTATTTGGAAGATGCATGGTGGGGATTGGGGTGGGGGGCACAGTGACAGGTGATGTATTTGGAGGATGCATGGCAGGGATTGGGGTGGGGGGCACAGTGACAGGTGAAGTATTTGGGGGATGCATGGCAGGGATTGGGGTGGGGGGCACAGTGACAGGTGAAGTATTTGGGGAATGCATAGCAGGGTTCGGGGTGGGGGGGGAACAGTGACAGGTCATGTATTCGGGGGACACAAGGCAGGGATTGGGGTGGGGGGCACCGTGACAGGTGAAGTATTTGGAGGATGCATGGCAGGGATTGGGGGGGGGGCACAGTGACAGGTGATGCATTTAGGGGATACATTGCAGGGATTGGGGTTGGGGTGGGGGGCACAGTGACAGGTGAAGTATTTGGGGGACGCATGGTAGGGATTGGGGTGGGGGGCACAGTGACAGGTGAAGTATTTGGAAGATGCATGGCAGGGATTGGGGTGGGGGGCACAGTGACAGGTGAAGTATTTGGGGGATGCATGACAGGGATTGGGGGGGGGGCACAGTGACAGGTGAAGTATTTGGGGGACGCATGACAGGGATTGGGGTGGGGGGAACAGTGACAGGTGAAGTATTTGGGGGATGCATAGCAGGGTTCGGGGTGGGGGGAACAGTGACAGGTCATGTATTCAGGGGACACAAGGCAGGGATTGGGGTGGGGGGCACCGTGACAGGTGAAGTATTTGGAGGATGCATGGCAGGGATTGGGGTGGGGGGGGGGGGGCACAGTGACAGGTGATGCATTTAGGGGATACATTGCAGGGATTGGGGTTGGGGGCACAGTGACAGGTGATGTATTTGGGGGATGCATGGCAACGATTGGGTTGGGGGCACCGTGACAGGTGAAGTATTTGGAGGATGCATGGCAGGGATTGGGGAGGGGGGCACAGTGACAGGTGATGTATTTGGGGAATGCATAGCAGGAATTGGGGTGGGGGGGGGGACGCAGTGACAGGGTGATGTATTCGGGGGACGCATAGCAGGGATTGGGGTGGGGGGCTCAGTGACAGGTGATGTATTCGGGGGACGCATGGCATGGATTGGGGTGGGGGGCACAGTGACAGGTGATGTATTCGGGGGACGCATAGCAGGGATTGGGGTGGGGGGCTCAGTGACAGGTGATGTATTCAGGGGACGCATGGCAGGGATTGGGGTGGGGGGCACAGTGACAGGTGATGTATTTGGGGGATGCATGGCAGGGATTGGGGTGGGGGGGGGGGCACAGTGACAGGTGATGTATTTGGGGGATGCATGGCATGGATTGGGGTGGGGGGGGGCACAGTGACAGGTGCAGAACAGGAGTTGGGTAATCTGTAGACACATTAGGTAAAGTTTTGCTTTGAATGTGGCACATGATGACAGATGCAGCAGAGCAGATATATTTGGGGTAAGCATTGCATGGATGGAGGCACACACTGACAGATGTAATACAGACGATATATTTGGGGTAAAGTATTGACTGACACGTAGAATACAGCACAGATGATTGGTTATCAATACTGCATCGATCAGTGCACTCAGTGCTGGATGCAGTGCAGGGGACACATATGGTACAGTATTGCATGGATCGGGGCACACACTGACAGATGCAGCACAGCGGAGATTATTGGTTATAAATATTCGATCGATCAGAGCACACACTGACAGGTGCAGCAGCAGTACAGCGGACACCTACGGGGAAATGATCGCATGGATCGGGGCTCAGTGACAGATGCTGTACAGCGGATGGGGAAACTACAGATACATTGGGTATGGAGGATTGCACTGATCGGATCTGGCCACACACTGACAGATATATTCGGGTATAGAGTGTTGCATTGATCGGGGCACACTGACAGATGCAGCACAGCGGACACATCGCACAGATCGGGGCACACACTGACAGATGCAGCACAGCGGACACATATGGGGACACATTGCACAGATCGGGGCACACACTGACAGTTGCAGTGTGGGGACACATCGCACAGATCGGGGCACACAATGACAGTTGCAGTGTGGGGACACATCGCACAGATCGGGGCACACGATGACAGTTGCAGTGTGGGGACACATCGCACAGATCGGGGCTCAGTGGCCGATGCAGCACAGAGGCAGAGTAATGTGCAGACACACGGCGTACACTGGGGAACGTGCTGCACTGATGGGGTATGGGCACACACTGACAGACGCTGCGGAGCGGATATAATCGGGTGTGATCGGACACACTGACAGATGCGATCCCTCCGACTCACCTGCGCCTTCTGGAAGTCCCGCACACAGCGGAGAGCGGAGTCGGTGAGTTTGAGGTGGAAGAGGCTGAGGCGGGGGTTCCTCCGAGGTTCGGTCCGGTAGGACAGAGTCCCGCACAGCTCCTCTCCGGCCCGAGACATGGCGAGCGACTGACAGCGCACCGGAGAGCGCAGCCCGGGGGAGGCGTGTGGCCGGGGCGGGGTCTGTCCGGGGAGTGGGCGGGGCGTACATGACAGCTGAGCTGGGACTGTCCATGTGTGACATGAGATACAGTCAGAGATCCCCGGGACAAGGATCGCCCGACACTCCTCGCTGCGCGCGCACCTCCCCCTACACGGGGTCGTGGGCTCGGAGAGTTACGGTGTCATCACAGCCATCCGGGTCCACATTGCTCAGTGCTGTGTCGGATCAGTGAGGAGGGAGGACCCCTGCGGGGGGGTCCTCATACACACCTGTAAGATCCAGGGATGCAAGCAGAGACGTGCGAAAACGCCTTCTACCATACAGAGTCCTCCTTACATCAGAGTCCCCATCAAAGTTCCTTCCTACAACAGACTAGGGTCTCCATCAGAGTAACTCCTTACATCAGGGTCCCCATCAGAGTGCCCCCTTACATCGGGTCCCCATCAGAGTCCCTCCTTACATCGGGTCCCCATCAGAGTCCCTCCTTACATCGGGTCCCCATCAGAGTCCCTCCTTACATCAGGGTCCCCATCAGAGTCCCTCCTTACATCAGGGTCCCCATCAGAGTCCCTCCTTACATCAGGGTCCCCATCAGAGTGTCCCCTTACATCAGGATCCCCACAGAGTCCCCCCTTACATCAGGTTCCCCAGCAGAGTCCCTACTTACATTAGGTTCCCCATCAGAGTCCCTTCCTACACTAGGGTCTCCGTCAGAGTCCCTACTTACATCAGTGTCCCCATCAGAGTCCATCCTTACACCAGGGTCCCTATCAGAGTAACTCTTTACATCAGGGTCCCCATCAGAGTGCCCCCTCACATCAGAGTACCCAGCAGAGTCCCTCCTTACACCGGGGTCCCTATCAGAATCCATTTCTATACCAGGGTCTCCATCAGAGTCTCTCCTTACATCAGGGTCTTCATCAGAGTCCCTCCTTACATCAGGGTCTCCATCAAAGTCCCTCCTTACATCAGGGTCTCCATCAGAGTCCCTCCTTACATCAGGGTCTCCATCAGAGTCCCTCCTTACATCAGTGTCTCTATCAAAGTGTAATGTTCCCGGTATACAGAGGGCAGTATTTCTGAGCAGGCTGCCAGGACTCTGGGGGCTGGGCTGCACAGCGTCATCTATTGATTTGGTGTATCATAACAATTAAAAGCGGAGTTCCAGTGAAAATAAAATAAATAAAAGTCAGCGGTTACAAAATCTGTAGCTGCTGACTTCTAAAAAACAGCCACTTACCTGTCCCTTGATCCCGCGGTGTCCTCCCCGCAGCCCGTTTCATTGGCCGCCCTGTGTTCCTGGCATCTTCAGTGTGGGCAGCTGGGTGTGACAGATGCGGCTTCACAGCCGGGTGTCCACTGCGCATGCGCGAGTCGTGCTGCACTCTGTGAATGGCCCCGTCATCTTCTGGGATCTGTCACGTGTCTCAGAAGACTACAAGAAGGGAGGCGGGAGGACAACTTCCACTTCTCATCACCTAGGTCAGGGGTGGCGAACACGCGGCTCTTGAGCCGCGTGCGGCTCCCGGCCAAAATGAATGCGGCTCTTTGCCTCTTATCATATTTTGTATACTGTGGCTCTTTGCCAAGTTTCATGTTTCTCTTATTTTTACCTGTTCCTCTATCCAGCGGCGCGCTGTCTTCCCGGCTTCTGTAGTGTGGGCATGGGCATGACAGCCGGGTGCCAAGTGCGCATGCGCAAGAAGCGGTGCTTTTTGTGAATGGTAAGGCGGTACCTGGGACACATGACAGATCCCAGAAGCCGCCGGACCAATCATAAAGTGCAAGTGCTTCTCGCTCATGCGCACTGGGCACCCGCTGTCATGCCGAGCGCCATTACAGAAGCCGGGAAGACAGCGCGCGGCTGGATCGAGGAACAGGTAAGATCAAACAAAAACTCTGCGGAAGTAAGAGCGGGTACCTGTCAAATTCAGGTACCCGCTCCCCACCTCACAAAGGTCAGCAGTCATCTGTACTGTCCGCATCTCTGTCATCCCTGTGCTGTCCGCAGTCTCTGGTCATCCCTGTGCTGTCCGCAGTCTCTGGTCATCCCTGTGCTGTCCGCAGTCTCTGGTCATCCCTGTGCTGTCTGCAGTCTCTGGTCATCCCTGTGCTGTCCGCAGTCTCTGGTCATCCCTGTGCTGTCTGCAGTCTCTGGTCATCCCTTGTAGCTGTCCGCAGTCTCTGGTCATCCCTGTGCTGTCCGCAGTCTTGGTCATCTCTTGTACTGTCCGCAGGTCTCCCTGTGCTGTCCGCAGTCTCCTGGTCATCCCTGTGCTGTGTCTGCAGTCCATTAGCTCAGAATTTTTTTTTTGTATACTTGTGTGTTAGAGTGAGAGAGAGAAGAGAAGGGAGAGAAGGGAGAGAAGGGAGAGAAGGGAGAGGGAGACAGGTGCCACAGCAACCTCCAGGGTAGTTGATGTGTTAACTCTGGCTAAGTTGCTTTTGATGTGTGTTGAGGGTGGACACTTACCTTGAAATGAACACATTGTTGTTTTGTAAGGGGAAGAAAGTGTTATGGTGAATAATATGGTTTTAATTATGTGTTTTTGTGTGAGTGTTTTGTCTGCTTTGGCAGGTCACTGCGTGGTGTGGCTCTCTGACTTTCACAGTTTAAAATGTTGGCTCTTTGTGTCTAACATGTTCGCCACCCCTGACCTAGGTGATCACAGTGGAAGTGGGTACCTGTCAATTTTGGGTACCCACTTCCCAAAGGTGCCAATCATTAATGGGGAGTGGGGGCCCAATCCTTAAAGCAGAACTTTTCCTTTTGGGTGGAGCTCCACGTTAATGACGCTGTATGCCTCAGCTGCCTGCATCCTAGCAAAAAATGATGCACAGTTACATAATGTCATTGGTTGGGGGATGCTATGCAGGTTTCCTAGCAACCAAGGAAGCCAAAAACACGGTGGCAACCGTGGGGGTGGGGTAAGAAAGCACTGGGGGTGGGGATAATTTAGAAGTTTAGAGAGGGGGATATATGATTTTAAAGCATAAAAAAGACAAAAATTGTTTTCACATTTTGGATGGAGTGGAGATGGATTAGAACCCCTGTCAGGTTTTTACTGCTGTCTGTGTCCCTGTTAGGAAGATTCACCCTCTTCATTTATCGTAGGGACTGTTATCAATAAGAGTGAAAGTAAATCCAAATTTTGGGTTGTCACTAGAACAGACATAGAGGGGATATCTTCCATTGGGACACTAGTTCTGGTGATAGCCAGGGATTCCCTCACTTTAGCCCTGGTTCATACTGATGTGACTACAGGTGCGACAAGTGATTTACAAATCACGCCGTAGTCACATCTAATGTATGGCACTGTCTGAATCAGTGCGATTTGAAGTAGCAGAACTTCAAAAGTAGTTCCTGCTCTACTTTTTCCCAATTTCATTGTGACTTGCAATGACTTCTATTAAATGAAGTTACAATGTATGTAAGATCAAACCGTGCAAATCCCTAATCAACTGAAGTCACAAAGCTGCAAGTATATAAGGAGCCCCTAGTCTTTGGATGACGAAACATGTCGGGCAGAGCTTCCCTCTGATGTCATCGTGCTGTCGGCCATCTTGGATATGGTTCATGTGAATGCTTTTAAATGTTCTACAGCTTGTAAGTGGGATCTTATTTGCGCAAATGAAGATGTTTTTGATACGTATTGCACTATGAGAGGCATGTTTTTTCTTTCATGACCTTGTCTGGAACTACACTTTGAGTTCACATTCAAGTTGGAGTCCGGAAAGTTCCATGCTATGGGGACATGGTACGGGAAGTCTGCCAGTGCTCTACATTATAAAGCTGGTTGGGACCCCCTGTAATTAAGGGGTCTCCATTTCTGGTAAAGCCTCCATTCATTACTTTGGTGGTGGTGCGCACTCTGGTGACCAGTTGAAGGAAGTTTATTTGTATTTACAGCATTGTCTACAATAATACCATCGACTGTGGAATTTTCTTCTCATACTTATGGACCATGGTTTATGTCTATATGGACTTTTTGTTATTGTTTTTTTGTTTTTTTAAAATTTTCTATTAACCTTTATGTATATTTGAGGTGAATTTTTGCAGATTTGACCTAAACTCAACCTCGATCACTCTTCAGAGGTGTGAGGGTCTTCATAGGGCTCATAGGTAATGCATGAAATTTTAGGTTAACTTGACCACATATTATGGTTTCTTACACGTATTTATGATTACTGTACTCAGTTTATTCAATTAATTTTTTTCAAACAGGGTGAGGGTCTTCATAGGGCATATGTATGCAGTTATTTAGTTTAACTATTACAGTGTTTTATTTTCAATTTTCAGTCACTTTTCAGAGGAGTGAAGGTCTTCATAGTGCTCACAAAGTTTTAAGGATTCACCTAGCACAGTATCCATTTAAATGAAGTTACAAGCCACAGTGAAATCGCAAGTGCAAATCGCACTGATCTGCAACTTCAAATGAAGTTGCACAGTTTCAAAGTTGCATTCAGTGTGAACCAGGGCTTAGAGGGATATCTACTCACTTCCTGTTTTGGCTATGGGACAGGAGGTGAAGGAAAATCCCCCCAATGGGACAGAGATGGCATAAAAAGAAACTGACAGGGGTTATAACTCTCCCTTTCTCTATTCAAAATGAAGAAGAACGTTTTGCCTTTAGTTCATCTTTTGAAGTGATACTAAACCAGGGGCGGACTGACCATTTGGAAACTCGGCCACTGCTCGAGGGCCCGGGGTCAGTAGGGGGCCCCATGAGATGCCCCTGGTACCTTTTTCATAGGCTTTTTTGAGTTTGGGCAAGGACATAGGGGCCCCATGATCCCCTATTGCCCGGGGGCCACATGAGTTGTCAGTCCGCCCCTGTACTAAACACACACTGTGTAACTTACATTATCCCTGCTCTATCTGTATGCAGGGGTGGACTGACAACTCATGGGGCCCCCGGGCAATAGGGGATCATGGGGCCCCTGTGTCCTTGTCCATACTCAAAAACGCCTATGAAAAAGGTACCAGGGGCATCTCATGGGGCCCCCTACTGACCCCGGGCCCTCGGGCAGTGCCCGAGTTTCCAAATGGTCAGTCCGCCCCTGTCTGTATGTGGATGATGGCACTGTGATCATTTTAATAAAAAAAAAAATACAATTTTTATTATTTTTTCCTAATTGATATACAGCTGTCACATGACCCAGCTCTTTCCCAGCCTGTCTGTAGGGAAACATGAGCAGGAGGAGCTTCTAGTCCTTCACTGCTGGTCACATGTTCCAAAGAAAAAAAACAGCCTTTGGGATACAGAGTAAATATTGATAATTAATATTAATAAACTGTTTTTCATCATACAAATTTATATTTAAAAAAATTTACTCTTTATTATTTTTTAGCAATAACATGATGTGGGTGGATTTCTGTCAGTCACAAGCTGTGTCACTCCCCTCCAGCCTGTGTCTTAGAATAACAGAGGTGAAGCCTCCATCAATCATGATGTAATATCCCACCCTCCATTGTGTTTACCTGGTTAGTGGGCATAGAGGACGAGGGAGTGGGCTGCCATTTACAACTTCATATACACCCATGTGTGTGACTCCATAGTTACACGGTCTGCTCAGATGTGATAGGGAGGAAATGCTAAGCATAGAAACTCACTGAAAACTGAGCATGTGCAGTAGCTGCAAACACTGCTCTGCAAAATCCCCAACTGCATTGCTGACATGGACAGAATGGGGAAATAGAGAACAGCGGGATCAACCAGGTTTTTTTTGCAGAATACAGAAAATGAATCCCATTGACTGGGTGAGTATGAACAGCATGTAATAAACCATTTACTGATAGTTTTTTTATGATGTGGGTTTAGTGACACTTTAACTAACAAACTGTACATTAACATTATATTAAATATTTATTTTCAAAATGTTTTAAAATATATGTGTGTGTTTTGGGGAACATTTAAAAACACTTAACAAATAAGGTATAACTGGTAAAGGAAGACCTACAACAGGATAAGTGGTAAATAGTGGATATACTGTAGTTCAATAAATTCGTAAAATGCTGCATTACACCCTGCAGACTTGATCACAAAACTGATGCAGAATTTAATAATGAACGCCTAGCTAACATAATAGCAACTGAGCTTCTCCTAGTTCAGACTTGCTTGGTTATGCAATGAAAGCACAGAGGAGTGACCACACATTGCTAAAATAAACATCCCACATGTTTGGAATGAAGTTATTGGCTTGAGAAAATTATGCTGATATCCTAAATCCATAGTAATAAAAAAAAAAAACAATCAACACTTGCTTACAAGATTAGACAACATATGGTGCCAATATATACACTATATTGCCAAAAGTATTTGGACCCCCCTCCAGATCATTGGATTCAGGTGTTTCAATCACCTCCATGGCCACATCAAGCATCTAGGCCAGTGGTTCTTAACCTTGTTGGAGGTACTGAACCCCACCAGTTTCATATGCGCATTCACCGAACCCTTCTTAATTGGAAAAATAAAATATGATTTTTAAAATTCAAAACATAGGTATATATTTAGGTATATATTTATACATAGGTGCACAAAATGAACAAAACCATTAAGAACAAAGAACAAAACCATTAAAACATGATTTTCACACAAAAAAAAACATAATAATGAATATTTACTGCACGAATCATATGAGTCGGGTGTGGGTCTTCACCTCCGCCGAACCCGCGAGACTGACTCACCGAACCCCTGGGGTTCGATCGAACCCAGGATAAGAACCACTGATCTAGGCATTAAGACTGCTTCTACAAACATTTGTGAAAGAATGGGTCGCTCTCAGGAGCTCAGTGACCAAGCGTGGTACCGTGATAGGTTGTCACCTGTGCAATAAGTCCATCCACTACATTTCCCGGCTACTAAATATTCCATGGTCAACTGTTAGTGGGATTATAACAGAGTGGAAGTAACTGGGAACAACAGCAACTCAGCCACCAAGTGGTAGGCCATGTAAAATGACAGAGCGGGGTCAGCACATGCTGAAGCACACAGTGTGCAGAAGTCGGCAACTGTCTGCAGAGTCAATAGCTAAATACCTCCAAACTTGGTGTGGCCTTCAGATTAGCACAACAACAGTGCGTAGAGAGCTTCATGGAATGGGTTTCCATGGCCGAGCAGCTGCATCCAAGCCTTACATCACCAAGTACAATGCAAAGCGTCGGATGATGTGGTGTAAAGCACGCCGCCACTGGACTCTAGAGCAGTGGAGACGTGTTCTCTGGAGTGACTAATCACACTTCTTTGGCAATCCGATGGATGTGTCTGGGTTTGGCAGTTGCCAGAAGAACGGTACTTGCCTGACTGCATTGTACCAAGTGTAGAGTTTGGTGCAGGGGGATTATGGTGTGGGGTTGTTTTTTTTTCAGGGGTTGGGCTTGGCCCCCTAGTTCCAGTAAAGAGAACTCCTAAGGTGTCAGCATACCAAGACATTTTGGACAATTTCATGCTCCCAACTTTGTGGGAACAGTTTGGGGATGGTCCTTCCTGTTCCAACATGACTGCGTACCAGTGTACAATGCAAGGTCCATAAACATAGAAACATAGAAAAGTGACAGCAGAAAAAGACCGAGTGGTCTGTCGAGTCTGCCCGTTTTCTTTTTTTTGTGGGGGTTTTTTTTGGGAGGGGGGGGTGTTTGGTTTTTTTATTTTGTTTTTTTTTTTTGTTAACTTTTTTTTGTCTGAGTATAGCTATTTACTGTTGTCTGGCTCTCTACTTCTGCTGGAAGTTTATTCCAAGCATCAACTACTCTTTCAGTAAAATAGTACTTTCTGAGTTTAGTTTTGAACTTTCCTCTAGTTAGTTTAAAGTCATGTCCCGTGTTCTTGATTTTGGTTTCATGTTGAAAACAATACTTCCCTCCTGGACCTTATTCACCCTTTTGATGTATTTAGAGGTTTCCATCATGTCTCCCCTTTCCCTTCTTTCCTCCAGACTGTACATGTTAAGTTCCTGAAGTCTCTCTTGATATGTTTTATCCCTCAGACCTTTCACCATCTTTGTTATTTGTCTCTGGACTCGTTCTATCTTATCAATATCTTTTTGTGAGTGAGGTCTCCAGAACTGGACAGAGTATTCTAAATGAGGTCTACCTAAAGATCTATATAGGGGAGTCAGGACCTCCTTCCTCCTGCTGGTGACCCCTCTAGTGACGCATCCTAGAATTCTATTTTCTTTCCCCACTGCCTGGCCACACTGTTTGCTCATTTTGCAATCATCTGAAATAAGTATCCCCAAATCCATTTCCTCTGAAGTGCTGGCCAGCACTGTACCCCCAATGTTGTACTCTCTCAAGGAATTATTTTTCCCTAGGTGCTTTATTTTACATTTAGAAACATTGAACAGCAATTTCCACTTCTTTGACCAATCTTCCAGCAATGTCATATCATGTTCCATGTTACAGATACTTCCAGGGATATCAACCCTATTGCACACCTTTGTGATATCAGCAAAAAAGACATACCTTACCCAACAAACCTTTAGTTATATCACTTACATATAGATTAAATAGAACAGGACCTAGTACAGAGCCTTGGGGTACTCCACTAGTGACTGGTCTCTATTCCGAGTGAACAACCACACTCTGGTATCTATCCTTTAGCCAGCTGCATATCCACTGAACCACCCAAGGGCTAAGTCCTAGCTTGTACAACTTTTGTATCAGATCATTATGTGGAACTGTATCAAATGCCTTGCTGAAATCAAGATATATTGTGTCCACAGCACCGTCTTGGTCCAAAACATTGGTAATATATTCAAAAAATGAAATCAGATGACATGATGGGGTTTATTTACTAAAGCTGGAGAGTCCAAAATCAGACTCCCTTCTGCATAGAAACCAATCAGCTTCCAGGTTTCATTGCCAAAGCTTCATTGAACAAGCTGAGGTTAGAAACTGATTGGTTTCTATGCAGAAGGGAGTCTGATTTTGGACTCTCCAGCTTTAGTAAATAAACCCCGATCTGTCCTCGGTAAAGCCATGCTGCTTTGGATCCAGCAAGTTGTATGTTTTTAAGTGACCAATGATCCTTTTTTTCCGGAGTGATTTCATTAACTTGACTACAACTGATGTTAAACTCACTGGCCTATAATTGCCAGCATTTAGCTTGTTGCCCTTCTTGTGGATAGGTACAATATTATCTGTCCACCAGTCATGGGGAACTTCTCCTGTTAGAAGAGATTGATTAAAAAGATCCATTAAAGTTCCACCAACTACACCTCAAAGATCTTAGAACTCTGGGATGAATACCATCAGGGCCCACTGCTTTATTAAACTTTAGTGGAGCCAGTTCCTCTACCTCTGTCTCCGGAAATCCTAAAAATGACCCATCATTACTAGAACCGATATGATTTCCCAACTTATTATTGTTAGTATACTTTATTTCTCAGAAGACTGAACAAAAATAATTGTTTAAATGGCTTGCTACATCCAGGTCTCCCTTAACATAAGTGTTGTGCCTAGTTTTTATTTTAGTGATCCCATCGTATTTTTTCTTTCTATCACTAATGTACCTAAAAAAGGTTTTATCTCCTTTCGTAATAGATTTAGCAATGTCCTCCTCTTTCTGTGCTTTGGCAGCACTGATAATATGTCTGGCCTCCTTTTGTCTATGCTTATACTCTACTCTGTCAGCTACACCTCCTGTTTCCTTGAATCTCCTATATGCTGATTTTTAGTCCTTTACTATCCTGCTTATCTTTTTGGTGAAAGACATGGATGAGAGAGTTTGGGTTGGAGGAACTTGACTGGCCTACACACAGTCCTGACCTCGACCCAACAGAATTAGAGCGGAGACTGCTATCCAGGCCTTCTCGTCGTCGACATCAGTGCCTGACCTCACAAATGTGCTTCTGGAACAATGGTCAAACCTTCCCATAGACACTCCTAAACCTTGTGGACGGCCTTCCCAGAAGAGTTGAAGCTGTAATAGCTGCAAAGGGTGGGCCAACTCAATATTGAGCCCTACAGCCTAAGATTGGGATGCCATTAAAGTTCATGTGCGTGTAAAGGCAGGCGTCCCAATACTTTTGGCAATATAGTGTACATATTCTATAAAGCTGGGCAGAGATGTATGGAATATTGTCCAGTTCAGCAGAGAGCGGCTAAGTTTCAATCTGTGTGTGATCCTCCCTCTTCAACAGAAGCTGATGGTTACATTGCTTTCTGTCAAACAGACACGCCGGAAAACCTTTTGTGATCTTGTCTGCAGCCAGTCATCTGCCTCTGGTGATCACTGTAATCTGACGACAGAGGGAGCCACTATCAGAATACAATGTTCCAGCATCTGTGCCCAGCTTTACTTGTTAGACTTCTAGATTTTCTCTGAAGATCTCAAACTTGCAGTCCTCATAAGAGGTCACTAAGGCCAAAAAATAGCTATTGATAAATTACAGGCAAATATAAGCTCACACTTACACACAAGGGTATACACAACAGCGTAAGTCAGCATTTATCAACCTTTTTAACATGGAGGAACCCCTAAAAGATAACTAAAGGCAAAATTTTTATTTTAGTTTTTAGAGTGGAGAGGGATTAGAATCCCTGTCAGTTTTTATTGCTGTCTGAGCTCCTGTTAGGGAGATTCCCACTCTCTAGTTGTCCTGTTTACCATTATTATTGAAATTTGAATTTTGGAAAATGGCTATATTTCTACTTTATTCTATTCTGTTCTATTTTTTCTATTCTATTCTGTTTATTTCTATTCTATTATTTTCCATTCTATTGTATTCATTTCTATTCTATTCTTTTACTTTCTATTTTGTTCTATTCTATTTTTTCTATATTCTATTCTGTTCCATTATATTCTATTCTATATAGAAGCCTAAACAGAGATCATCATCTTATTTAATTTTTATACTTTACTATATTTTTTTGTAAAATGTTTCCATTCTGCATTTAAATTCATTTTTAGATTTATATTCAAATTCATTTTCAAAATCAAATGCGGAAAATTTTTTTATCATTTATTTCGGATTTGTTGAAATTCGTTACTATTTGGAAATATGGATATATCCAAATCTCCAAATAATGAAAATTTTCTCAGCATTTTGATTTGTAACTAAATGAATCACACGTCTAGTGATGGTCACTGGAAAGAATGCTTGCAACATGGGTGGTCAGTGGGAATGTCCCCCTTACAGAGAAAATACTTCATTGGTGTCACTGATTACATATCTGAGAGACAAAAATTGTTCATTGCTCACAGATCCCTTAGCATCCTCTGGAGGAAACTTAGGGGTCCATGGAACCCCTGGTTGAGAAAGGCTGGTGTAAGTAGATACCACATTGTAATACTCCTCCCTAGAATTGCCTATTCAAATACCGACTTTCTGAAAATCAGAGCATAGGCACACCTTGATCTTATGTCCCACGATGTAATTCTCAGTGCTTGAGCAACTTACCGACAGGAGGAGCCTTAGACATGTGTTGAGGGAGAGGGTGAGTCTTACGCATTGCAAAAGATGGTAATTGCATAGTAAGTACAAAATAAAAACCCATTCAAGGTTATACATGTAGTGCCCCTTCTGGCTGGGGTAGAGGCAAACTTGCCTCCAATGCAGCTAGAGGGCTAAAGTGACCCCAGCATGGATCCATGGCCACAGCATAGAAATATAGACAATGATGGATGCCATCTTTAGTCTTTTCCAAGTTTTATTGCTCCAGCTTACAGGTAGAGAGGGTTAGGGCATAGGTCTCTTTCAGCTACAGAACTCCAGAAGTCGCCTCATCCAAGAGAGTGCCAGGATCCTCTAAGAGCAGACACCGATTCTCCTTCAGCAGGACTTCCATCCTCTGGCTTTACCTCCTTGGGTGCTGTACGCTCCTCAACCAGGCAGGGCAGCTTGAGGACTCTGAGCTATGCCTCAACCAACCTCAAGCCTACTCAGCACAAACCATTGGAAAAAACTTGTCCAGGCCACAGCCTGGGGGAAAAAGAGCTCACCAAGCCACTCCCCAAACATTTATATCCTCCTTCAGCATGCGCCACTGGCCATGAGCACCTAGTGGTGTCCATAGGGGACACAAATGCTCATTAGCCCTGGAATGGTACTGCCCCCATGACTATTCCCCTGAGAGCCAGTGGCACCCAGTGGCAGCAGCAGGGAACAGCAGCAACCCTGAACTTAGGAGATAAATCCATTGAAGAAGTATACCAGGAGTACTGAATTCAAATTCACAGAGGTCTTATCAGTGAAATATTATTCCAGTGGATGTCTGAATTGCATTTATTTGTGATGATTCTGTCACATCACAGCCCCCTCTTTTATTTCACAATCCCATTCTTACATCAGTTTCCTCAGTCCACCTTCATATCACAATCCCCCCTTCACATCAGCTTCCCCTTCACAGTAGTGTTTTGAACCCCCCCCTTTCACAATGGTATCCTCTGCCCCCCTTCACAGCACCTCACCACAGTAATGTCCTCTTCCCCCTTCACATCACAGCCCCTGAAACCTCTGGCACTCCTTCATATCACAGCCTCCTGCAGCTCTGGCACCCCTTTGCATTACACAGCCCCCTGCACCTCTGTTCTCCCTTACATTACATAACCCTCTGCACCTCTTGCTCCCTTACATTTCACAGCCCTCTGTACCTTTGACCCCCCTTACATTACACAGCCCCTGCACCTTTGACCCCCCTTACATTACAAAGCCCCCTGCACCTTTGACCCCCCCTTACATTACACATCAACTGCATCTGTGGCTCCCCTTTACATTACACAGCCCACTTTACATTACACAGCCCCCAGCACATTACACAGCCCCTGCAGATTACACTGCCCGTGCATCTCTGGCTCCCCTTTACATTACACAGCCCACTTTACATTACACAGCCCCCAGCACATTACACAGCCCAGGGGCGGGCTGACAACTCATGGGGCCCCCGGGCAATAGGGGATCATGGGGCCCCTGTGTCCTTGCCCAAACTCAAAAAAGCCTATGAAAAAGGTACCAGGGGTATCTCATGGGGCCCCCTACTTACTCCGGGCCCTCGGACAGTGCCCGAGTTTACAAATGGTCAGTCCACCCTGACACAGCCCCTGCACATTACACAGCCCCAGCACATTACACAGCCCCAGGACATTACACAGCCCCAGGACATTACACAGCCCCAGGACATTACACAGCCCCAGCACATTACACAGCCCCAGCACATTACACAGCCCCTGCACATTACACAGCCCCTGCACATTACACAGCCCCAGCACATTACACAGCCCCAGCACATTACACAGCCCCTGCACATTACACAGCCCCTGCACATTACCCAGCCCCTGCACATTACACAGCCCCTGCACATTACACAGCCCCTGCACTACCCAGCCCCTGCACATTACACAGCCCTAGCACATTACACAGCCCCTGCACATTACACAACCCCTCCAAATTACACAGCCTCTGCACATTACACAGCCCCTGCACATTACACAGCCCCAGCACATTACACAGCCCCTGCACATTACCCAGCCCCTGCACATTACACAGCCCCTGCACATTACCCAGCCCCTGCACATTACACAGCCCCTGCACATTACCCAGCCCCTGCACATTACACAGCCCCTGCACTACCCAGCCCCTGCACATTACACAGCCCTAGCACATTACACAGCCCCTGCACATTACACAGCCCCAGCACATTACACAGCCTCTGCACATTACACAGCCCCAGCACATTACACAGCCCCTGCACATTACACAGCCCCAGCACATACACAGCCCCTGCACATTACACAGCCCCAGCACATTACACAGCCCCAGCACATTACACAGTCCCTTACAGCTGTTCCTGCTCCTTCACATTACACAGTCTCCACAGCTCTGCCCCTTCCTACCTTCCTTGGGCAAGCAGAGTGGGAGACACAGCAGCACTGAATAGAGGTCGGGAGCTGCTGGAGTTCATTTTTCATATTAACAAGCAACCAATCACCTTAACTTGGAAAGTTAACTCTGACAGCTCCCGCCCTCTTTCAGTGCTGTTGTGTCTCCCGCTTTGTGTACAGAAGTGTTCTGCATCCTGCTCTACACTCTACTATGTTAGTGACAGTGGTGCAAGTATAGACTCCTAAACGGTGGGACCATGGAGGTCCGGATAGGACAGTGACTGGGTCCGCATCCAAACCGCGGTCCGCCATTTAATGATGCCTGAACTATACAGTAAATTAGCCTGGGCAAACTACTACCCAGGAACGTTAAATGTACTAGACACCTCTGACAACGGGGTGTTTACATATGCAACAATTACAATTTGTCTTATTCTAGGTTCAGTCCTTCACAGATTTTTGTATTCATTTACACAAACCGAATTTGCTGTTGGTCGGTACTTTTCAACTTTTTTCTTAAAAATCATAGAGGAGGGTAAATTTACACATATACGAAAAAATAAAATGTTGTGGCTGTGATGTCGGGACCCAGGGGAACTCACCAGCAGATGTAATGTAGTGCTAAGGCCTGGTGAGTATAATTCAGGGAGGGAGGGGAGAACTTGGTGGTTTTATCATAGGGGATTGTACTGGGAAAGGGGGGTCATTTTTGTTTGGGAGGCACTCCCAAGTACGTTACTTATTCTTGATCTCTGCATTCTATATGTTACTTATTCCTGACGTTTTAGGCCTCTCCCACAGTTGGTGCAATTTGGTTACACCCACTATTTGCTGCAGCCACATCATTACTCTTCCTAGAGTGCCCAATGGTGCCCCAGGTCATTCACAATCCTAGTGATACCCCCAAGTCCCCCCACTATCTTGCAGTACCAGCTAGCTATGTTAGGGATGGCTCCAGTCAGATTTTCATGCACCACCCCAATGTGGCACTGCTGAAGCCGGTTGCACTTGTGATGCAAACATCACTCAGGCCAGCAATCTGGCACTGTGCAGCCATATTGATATTTGGTGATTGTGTGGGTGGGGCTACAACGAGGGGTGTGGTTTTATGGTTAAAAATGGGAATGGACAGTAGGGTATCCCTGGATTTCGTTGTGAAAAGTTGTTAGCCTTATCTCACAATACGCAAAACATCAACCACAAAATCTGATTTGCAATAGAAATGCCCTCAAACAAAAACTATTAGGACTTTAAAGGTACCAAATTTACTAGTCTTATGTATAAAAATATACAACATTTTATTGTAACAACAAAAATCAGTCTTTAACCACTTTACCACCGCCCTATAGCAGAAATGCTGCTACAGGACGGCAGGGCTGCACAAAATCATGTATATATACGCGATTTTGCATTTCTGGATGTCAGTAACCGGGTCCTGGCCATTGATTACTTGCCGGCACCTGGGGATCACCAAATAATACCAACGGGGGGAGAAAACTGTATGTAAACAATACAGATATCTCCCCTGTCAGCTCCTGCACACTGCTTTGTATGGCTCTGCATAACAAAGCCATATAAAGCAGTGTGCTTACAGTGTAAAGCACACACACAGCACATTATGTAAAACAGCACACAGGTAACCCTTTGATCACCCTAGATGTTAACCCCTTTTATCCCAGTGTCATTAGTACAGTGTCAGTGCTTTTTATTAGCACTGATCTTTGTATTGGTGTCAATGGGGATGTCAGTGACACCAAGTCAGTTCCTCCCCAGGGTCAGAATGCCCGCCGCAGTCCTGCAGTCCCACTATAAGTCGCCGATTGCTGCCATTATTACTGTAATAAAAAAAAAATTCCAGTATATATACCGCCATTTGTAAACACTATAACTTTCACGTAAACCAATTAAGTTACATGTATTGAGAATTTCTTTTAGCAAAGACAGGTTGCAGAATACATTTTGCCCTAAATTTAAGACAAAATGTGATTTTTTATTTTTTTTTTATTGGACATGTTTAATAGTAAAAAGTCAAAAATATTGTTTTTCTTAAAATGTTTGGTCTTTTTTTGTTTATAGCACAAGAAATAAAAAATTCACAAGCGATAAATACCACCAAAAGAAAGCTCTATTTGTTGGGAAAAAAGGACGTAAATTTCCTTTGGGTGCAGCATTGCATGACCGCGCAATTGTCAATTAAAGTAACGCAGCGCCGTAACGCAAAAAATGGCCTGATCAGGAAGGGGGGTAAATGCTCTGGAGGGCAAGTGGTTAAAAAGAATATCCATCGTACATGTTGCTGAAGTTACAATTTACATCCTCCCTGTAGATGTCACCATTGATATACATGAATGATTCTAATATTTTTTTCCCAAACTATAATGAGTTATCTTAAGGGAAACCCCTATTTACAGAAAAGATTTGAAACTTATGGCATCATTCAGTCCAGGTGCCACTGTTGCCTAGAGCTCATAGATCCACCTAGTTTCTCTCTGCAAGGCGATCCCAGTCTCCACCACATAGATCTGGATGTGCCCGTTCCAGGTTAAAATTTTACACATCTCGGATCTTTATTGTGTGGCCAGGCTCCATGTCATCCTATAGGGAAGAAAATATCACCAGACTTTTTTGTTCTTCCTGAAGAAGCAGGCTCTGACCTGTGAAACACGTTGAATGTGGAGACCCCATATTTTTGATGATAGCCAATTTTTGGAATCAATCATCATCATTTTGGGACCTTTGAAGTCCTAATAGTTTTTGTTGGGAACTTGTTAAGATGTGTAATATTGAAGGATGTGGTACCTAATCTAATGATTTCACTACCCCACTCATCTTTTCCTTTTTTTTGTTGTATCGCAATATGCATCTGATTCTGTCCTGCTTGATACTGCAAGGCTAGGATTAGACATGTGTCTAAACCGGCCGCCCCACTGAAAAGCAATCCACGTTTGTATCTCTTTTCATAGGTGATTGACAGGTGAGAAGGAGATGCGATGTCTCCTCACTGCCTGTTTTAACCTCATTTTTGCTGAACAAATGAGTATCAACCGTGAGCATTGCATGGAATTGTGAGGTACTTGTGGCATTTTTCCATTCGCTTGAGTGGGTCTTGTTCAGCGGGCTTGCCATCAGCCGATCACGATTTATTGGTTAGTGAAGCTGCTGAACCGCATATCTAAATTTAGTCTAATTCTCCCCCAAGCACTTTATAAAAAGAAAGTTTTCCAATTCAGAGTAAATGTTAATGTGTCATTAAAGTCATCTGGATGAATGGGAGAAGTGAGACAGGACTATAGCTGCATAGGCCTGAAAGGTCAAATACCTTTTAGCAGAACTTGTTTTGACAGTGGAACATGTGCGCTAAAAGTGGATGTTTTCCTACCTGTTTGTTCTAAATAATATAGACCTATGTGATCGCACAGGCCCAGCCCAGCATGCTTGGGATGCCTATTATTTTATGCTTCAGGCCCATTGCACACCAGTACAAAAAATGGCCACTGCCCAGTCTACTAACTGGCCTTCACAGCAAGAAACACATGGAAGGGCCCATTGCACACCAGGCCTTTGGCCCATGTGCATCCAATCCCAGCTTTTTAATGTGCCAAGGAGGCACAAGTGCAGCATCCAGTTGGCACTTTTTTTTCCAGCCATTGACTTTGACAGCCTGCAGGCAACGGAGCTGGATCCGGGCACCCTGTGTCTCCCAAAATACACTAAAATGCTGGATTGGATGTACATAGATCAAACGCCTAGTTTGCAAGGGGCTTAAGGCTCGTTCATGAGCTCCATGCCCAGATCCAGGAGTCGATATGTTGCACACAGTCCTCACTGTACGATTCATTCTGCACTATCACACCACAGTTGTAGGGTGGCTCCATAGACCTGCTTTAGTCACGTTCAGTGGTGGGAACTCCCACCAAAAGGGACATACTGTTTGCACAGCAAGCACAGTAACTGTGGACAAAGGCAAATCTATCACAGAATTTGTCAAACTATTTTTTTTGAGGTATGTTATTATTCTCAGCACCCTTGTGTGTATATATATATATATTGAAATATATTTGAATTTATGACCTTAAATTGTGAGTAATACTTTTGTTTTTTGGAGGTTTGTGTGACATTATGTCTGCTTTCTTTCCTCCCTTTTTTTGTTTTGTCCATACACACAAAGGGAATAAACATATAGCAAAACATGTGTTATGCAATAAATACATATATATATATGGGTAGATGAGATAGATATAGATAGATAGATAGATAGATAGATAGATATATTCCTAGATTGTAAGCTCGAAAGAGTAGGGCCCTCAAACCCCTCGTGTATTGTATTGTTACTGTCTTGTCTCATGTTCTGTCCCCCTCGCTATTGTACAGCGCTGAGCATACCCTTTGGCGCTATATAAATACTGTATAAAAATAATAATAATAAAGTAGGTGTTGTATCAATTTGGCTGCAAAAGTGGAAATTCACTTTCAATCTTTCTTGAATGGGCTGAAATCACATTGCCTGTGGCCATTGATGGACTCTTCTGCTGGACAGGTAGTTGGGGTTTACAAAGCTATCGGTATAACAAATATTTTTCTGCTGTCTAACCAACATTGCAGCCTAGGTATAAGGAATTGTAAGCTACTCACAGTATGTGTGAGCTAAGCTTTTCTAAACTCCATTAATTCCCACTTAGGTTGGCTCTTACTAAGCTGCAATGCACTAGATTTAAACTCTCTGGGTCATTTATCAAATAAAAATATGCAGGGCTGTGGACATAGTCAGGCGGGTTTTCATGTGTTTATATGTGTTTCCAAATGTGAAGGCAGGGATGCAACGTTTCTCTATTTTTTACTTTTCAGATCTAAATGCAGCAGCCCTAAAAGTACAGGTCTGAATGGCCTTAATAATTTGTATAGTGTTGCATACAGAAGATTGTAGAACACACATCTGAACGCTGTATCTTTAACCACTTGCCTGCTGGAGAGGATTTACCCCCCTTCCCGACCAGACTATCTTTTGTGTTATGGCACTGCGTTATTTTAACTGACAATTGCACGGTCATGCAACGCTGCACCAAATTAAATTTACGTCCTTTTTTTCCCACGAATAGAGCTTTCTTTAGGTGGTATTTGATCGCCTGTGCGGTTTTTAATTTTTTGCGCCAAAAACAAAAAGACCAACAATTTTGAGAAAAAAAAACAATAATTTTTACTTTTTGCTATTAAACATGTCCAATAACAAAATTGTAAAAATCAAATTTCATCATAAATTTAGGTCAAAATGTATTCTGCTACATGTCTTTGCTAAAAAAAAAATCCCAATACGTGTAAATCGATTAGTTTACATGAAAGTTATAATGTTTACAAATGGCGGTATATATACTGGATTTTTTTTTTGCTAGTAATGGCGGTGATCAGCGACTTATAATGGGACTGGAGCACTGACACTGTACTAATGGCACTGGGCAGGAAGGGATTAACATCTGGGCCAATCAAAGGGCTAACTGTGTGCTGTTTCACAGTGTGCTGTGTGAGTGCTTTCCACTGCAAGCAGACTGCTTTGTATTGCTCTGCTATGCAGAGCCATACAAAGTAATGTGCAGGAGCTGACAAGGGAGAGATCTGTGTTATTTATACACAGGTCTCTCCCCCATCAGAGATACTCGGTGATCACCGATGCCAGTGAGTAATCATTGACCGGGATTGACAGCTGAGGCCGCGAATGGAGCGCATGCCCCATACCTGGAACTGCAAAATCACGTATACACCCGTGCCACCCTGTAGCAGTATTTCTGCTATAGGGCAGTGCAGAATCGGCTAAGAAACACACTAGGGTTGATTTACTAAAATCGGAGAGTGTAAAATCTAGTGCAGCTGTGCATGGTAGCCAATCAGCTTCTAACTTCAGCTTGTTCAGTTAAGCTGTGACAATAAAACCTGGAAGCTGATTGGTTTTTATGCAGATCTGCAACAGATAGTGCACTCTTCAGCTTTAGTAAATCGGTACTTGTCTGCTAATTCACCGGATTTATTTATATATATATAATAAATATATATCTATATATCTATATATATATATATATATATATTTGTGATATATTTAAATAAAACATATAAATATATATATATATATATATATATACATAAATATATCCGGTGAATTAACAGACAAGTACCAGTAAATCAACATCATTGTCTCAATGCAGAGACATACAACACAGCTGCACTTTAAGGCTTCATGCATACTAGCCTTTTTTAAAGCTCAAAATATGCTGGAAAAATAGATTAAAAACCCTGGTAATAGTGTTTTATAGTAGCGTTTTAGTAGCATTTAGAAGTGTTTAGGAATGTTTAGGAGTGTTAGCATTTTATTATCGTTTTTACAGTACATGTAGGAAAAAAAGCTGTTAGGAGCATTTAGGAGAGTTTAAGAGCGTTCATCTTTTTTTTCTGTTGAAAAAATGCTCCTATAAACTTGACAAAAACATTTTTATTTCTGCTCCTAAACGCTGAAGCTTGAAAAACGCTACTAGCCTAAAATAGTATGCATGGACGCATAGGACAATAATATTTAGAGGAGCAGAAAAAAATTTTGACAACAGCTTCTAGGAGCCTAAAAAAACACCAGTGTGCATGGATCCTCAAGATAAAAGCTGTATGGTTTGTACAACACTGAAGAGTCAGACACCCACTTGTGTGTTCTGGTCCTGAACATTTTTGTGTTTTGTTTGCTAAACGTTGCAGCACGGCAACTGAGAACAAATCTCATTGTGACTGAAGCTTGAGTCGGCTACAATGTTACAAAACTGGCTTCAATAAATAATATTTACCTTTCCGTTCGCAGTTCAAAGAAAGTAAGGCAACATCACTTTTTTTTTTTTAAATAATTGTATCATTTAACCACTTCACGCCAGCCGACCGCAAATGTGCGGCCTCCCGGCATCTGGGCCTGGACGCTGAATGGCCGCACATTTGCATTCTATTAAAAAAGAACATATGTGCCGAGAGCTCGCGCCCTGCGCATTCCCAGCACACATGTCCGGTACTCACGGAAAGGTCCCGATCTCCTCTTTTGATTGGGACCTTTCCCAATCATGTGACCGGCGTGACGACGTGTCACAGCGGTCACATGACCCTAAACCCCGCCCCGCCTCCCAGCTTCTGAAACCCTTAAAGGGCTGGGAGGCGGCGGCGTGAAGGGGTTAAGCAATACTGTAATTCATATTATAGTGTTTCGTGAATGTGGACTGTTTGACCATCTGGTTTTGGTGCTTGAGGTGCCATTAACAAGCAGCAAGTGCGATGCGCGTTTTTTACATGTTTGGTAAACGTGTTCAAAATCTCACAATTTTGCGTGCAATTATGAAACACTGCAGTGTGAATGCAGCCTTAGACCTTGTGCCCACTGCACATCTGCCTAGGTCTTCTGAATGCCTTTTCCCCTGGCTGGAGAAAAACAATGTAGAAAATGTTAGTAAGCACGTCATGCGTTTGGGCATTCATTTATTCCGTTGGCCAGAATATTAATTTATTCTGGCCATTGAAATGAAAGAACGCTTAAGCTTTAAATTTGCCTAGTGTGCTCAAATGCCTTTAGACGCGTTAAATGCGTCTAGAAATTTTTCTGTGGAAATGCTAATTTTCTGAATGTGCGAGTGATGTTTATTTTCTGCCTCTAAACACCTCTAAATGCCAATGTGTGCATGGAAACACATAGGCTAACATTTAGGGATACAAAAAATGGCCACTGCTCCAGTCTATAACTGGCCTTCACAGCAAAGAACACATGGAAGGGTGATGCATGTCAAACAACAAAAGAGAAAAACCCTGAGCTCAGCTTGCCAACCAGCCTGCAAACAAACCGAATTAACCTGTCTGGGTTTATTTAGCACACATTTGCAAATACATGCGTAAGCTACAGAGCCTCGGCACCCCGATATGCTGTAGTTCCTAACTGTACAAATTTTGAGAGCCCCCATAGTAGATAGTCTATCCATTAAATACCTGTGCCTCTACTATGGGGGCTCTCAAAATTTGTAGTTAGGAAGCACAGAATATCAGGGTGCCATGACGAGGCTCTATAGCTTACGCATGTATTTGCAAATGTGCTCTCTAACTAAACCCAGACAGGTTAATTTGGATTGTTTGCAGGCTGGTTGGCAAGCTGAGCAAGGAATTTTTCTCTTTTGTTGTTTAACATTTAGGGATGTTTAAAGGCAGAAAAAAAAGTCAAACATTGTTAAAGTGGTTCAAAAGGCAGAAGTTTTTTTACCTTAATACATTCTATTCTGAGTGCAGCTTCCCCCTCAGCCCCCTTTATACTTACCTGAGCCCCATTTGATCCAGCTATGTGCATGAGAACGACAGCTCTCCTGGGTCTCTTTCTCCTTGTTGGCTCACACAGTAGCAGGAGCCATTGGCTCCTACTGCTGTCAATCACAGCCAGTGAGCCAATGAGGCGAGAGTGGGGGGGGGGCCCGAGCCACTCTCTGTATGTGAATGGACAGTGTCCATTCACAGGAGCACAGTTTGGGAGTTAGCCTGCTCAAGTGCCCCCATCATAAGAAGCTTGCTATTGGAGGTACTCGGCGGGGGGAGGAGCCAGGACTGCCAAAGGGGGACCCAAAAAGAAAAGGATCGGGGCTACTCTGTGCAAAACTATTGCACAGAGCAGATACTGTAGTTATATAATGTTTTTTTTTTTTAATTACCTTTAGAATCACTGTAAAAGCAGCATTTGTGATGCCCAATGAGCACAAGACGCCGTGACGTTAAGCCGCCGGAGCCACGTGGAGGCCCGGCGGCCATCTTGCTTTCTGGACGGTTAGTCCGATGCACACCGCTGTCATACTCTGCAATGTTCATTGTGCTGCATACTGCTGCTTTACTCTGCATTCATTTTAAGTGAATTACATTTGTTTTTACCATGGTTACTTTCTTTAATAAATGTTACATCCATTAATTACTACACTATGAGTACTTCCTTTACTCCCCCTTGTGGAGATATTTATTCATAGCACCTGCCTGGTCCAGCAACTTCAAGGATTCCAGAGAAGGGAGATCCTGTACCCAGGCAACCTGCACCCACCTATCCCTTAAGGGGACCTCTGGCCAGCTGGATCTTCTTCTTACCATCCTGTGTGCTTCCACCACCACTACCCACTTAGAGGGAGGATTATCTCTGTGCGTTCCTGTCCAGACCAACCATCCAGAGGGAGGACATCTTCCCCTATCTCAGACCAGATCCTAAAGGAGGCTTTTGTGGATTTTACTTAATGCACATTTACATTGTGCATCTGGTGAGTGCACAATCTCGTTATATTGCTTGGAACATCATCACGGATTATAAAGAGAGCACTTTATAGACTATCTAGTAGCCTCATAAAAATACGGAACATTTGTTTATTAATATTTTTCAACCATTTGCATATTGACTGCTTTATTGTACGTTTAGTCATTTGGATTATACTTTACCTGATAATTTGCACCACATTTATAGCGCTGCACTATTTTTATGTATAACCAATTCTACAAATATTGTTCTGCTACTCCTTTATTTGTGATTCCATTTTATTTAAGGTTGCATTCGCATCTGACCATGAGTGTTTACAGTTCATTTAAAGTGTTTTTTTTCTGTGTGCTTTTGCAGTTTGGTCCTGGCTAGGGGCGGACTGACCATTTGGAAACTTGGGCACTGCCCGAGGGCCCGGGGTCAGTAGGGGGCCCCATGAGATGCCGCTGGTACCTTTTTCATTGGCTTTTTTGAGTTTGGGCAAGGACACAGGGGCCCCATGATCCCCTATTGCCCGGGGGCCCCCATGAGTTGTCAGTCCACCCCTGGTCCTGGCGTATTCACCTTGAGCAATTTTGTTTTGGCCAGTAGAAGGTTAGTTACTAGGAGAAGGAGATTGTTGTTTCAGCTTTAAAAATGCTACTTTTCTGGCTTTTTCAGGCACTTCTATTGAAGTCTTTGAGGCCAAACCTTCTGTTTCAAAAGCAGCTGATATATCTTTTTAGTTCACCATTATCATTACAATCTGACTATACAATCTCCTTTGGATCGATCAATAGGTATATAGTTCAATGTTCTGCCTGATTGGATAAAAAATGAATACATAAGATAGTTGGATTTATATTTTGATCCATCTATGGGCAGCTTGGCTGTACTGAAGCCTACTTCAATACAACCAGTCTGTCAGATTTTATTTTGTATGGTCACTTCCGCTAGCTATAGCCAGAAGTGGTGATCATTGTATTCTGGCAGCGAGGAATCCAATAGCGCAGCAATAGGGAATCCCCCATCAACACTGAAGGGGGAATCAAATGATTTTCTTTCCTCAAACCCAAGGCTGAAGGAAAGAAAATTGCATAATGTATGGCCAGCCTTAGGTAGGTCCTCATATTACATAGTTTGGGTAAATCTAAAACTGATTGTACAGGGATTGTATTGTCAGGTTGTAACATGCATGACAAGCCTTTTAGTCTCAGGCATTGAGAAACAGGCACCTGAGCCGGCATACGTGACCAGTCACAGTTTAATAGCATGGGATTTTGGTTGTCGAGTGCTTTGAGCTTCTAGCTACATAATGCTCAGGTATGAATCAGGGATAACTTATGTAGCGTTACTCTCATAGGAGCCACAGGAATACTGTCCAGGTCCTCCCCTGTTACTTAGCCCAGCAGACAGGTACATA